TTCCATTCCCATTCCATTGCGGGGTCACGAAAATGTGGAATGATTCCGGATTCATACCGATTCCGGAGTGGTAACTCCGCAACAGCGGTGGACGCTGCCACTTATTAGGGCGTCCTATAGCTAATGTTAGCCTAGCTGTTCTTTGTTGATCATTTATTTTTTTGCTTAATTTTTTCATAATTTCCCAAGGAGTTCATTTGTGAAAATCTTTGATTTTTACGGAAGAAGACAGATAGCGAACACCATAGAGGTCTCATCACAGTTTATTGTTTCACTATCTTCAATTTTTTTTCTAGTTAAAATTTGGCTAGCGAAATTGACAGATCTCTCGCATGTGCTCATCACCGTGCATAGTCATCAATATGCAAACAAACAAACAATCAATCAAACAAAAACACAAGTAGTTTCTTTTCGTGATGATCACACCGCGGATACATATCGGTAATCAAATACATTAGGCTTTGATACTCCGAGACAAAGAGCACCACTTGATAAATTCCACGCATCTATCCGAAACAACTCTCAAATATAAAACTTTCTTTTCTCTCCGGGTAATGGTCAGTGTGTTGCGTCACCATTTTTACGTCATCGCCGGTACTGCCGAGTCACCATGAGACAGAAGAAGAACGGCATTAAACTATAGTAATCCATAGTGAATTGTGACGCATGGTACGTAGTGCTTATGGAAAATAGATTTGTGTCCCATGGCAGCGGAAATTCTCGACAACGACATTCTCTGGCTCAAGGACTCCCGAAGAAAATAGGCAGTTGAAGACAGAATGAGGGGACGGAACCCCTTCTGTGTAGGATGTGCATACTTGCGCACGTGTCGTGCCAGTGCGGGCCTACGTAGTGCGGCTCACGTTGTCCGACGGACTGGGTCGAAGGAAAAAAAAAAAAAGAAAGCGAAATGACAGAGAACGCGATTCGTGGAGTTGGAAGGCGATCGTGACAAAAACAACAGAATCCGGTGGTATAGGGGAATCCGTCAACGGTGCATCATGAAGGTCGAAGCTGGCTCTCTCACGACCTCTGCCACGCCTCGTCATTACAGTAACACCGCGCCCAATCATTCGGCCAAATGACGCTAGTTTTGCTACCTTGCCGCCCTTGCAAGAAGAGCCTACATCCGTTCCGATGGGCTAGCCTCGTTGGAGACTTGCCAAGCACCGTCTGCATATATATATATATATATATATATATATATATATATATATATATATATATATATATATATATATATATATATATATATATCTATATATATATATATATATATATATATATATATATATATATGAGATATAACAGACAGCAATGCCAAGGAATGTACAGGGGAAGTTATTAGAACCAATGGAATGTAAATAAGAAGAAAGAAAAGTGGATGAAAAAATAACCAACCGTGAGCAGGAATCGAACCTACAATCTTCGAATAACGCGTTCGATGCTCTAACCACTGAGCTACCACAGCGGCCTTCCCTCCATCCACTTTTTTGGGTTTATATGTGAATTTAGAAGTAGGCCGCTGTGGTAGCTCAGTGGTTAGAGCATCGAACGCGTTATTCGAAGGTCGTAGGTTCGATTCCTGCTCACGGCTGGTTATTTTTTCATCCACTTTTCTTTCTTCTTATTTACATTCCATTGGTTCTAATAACTTCCCCTGTACATTCCTTGGCATTACTGTCTGTTATATCTCATTAATATTGTGTTAAAACACGGGAAAACGAGCCCTTAGGTATACAATTCTTTCACTTATATATATATATATATATATATATATATATATATATATATATATATATATATATATATATATATATATATATATATATATATATATATATATATATATCGCAATGATTGATTGATATGTGGGGTTTAACGATATATATCGCAATGAGCAATCACTCAAAAGTATTCAGGGCGTACTTGCAAAGGCATGTTTCGTCCTATCCTGCTGACTTTGCTAGTGAAATATTGTGCGGTATGGTAAAGTACAGTATAGCTGAGTATAGTAACTGGTGGGTGCCATATCTTATTTCGTTATACTGTTGGTTTGCTTGTACGCTTCCTAAATTTGGACACTTGTAGGTTGGTCGATATGAGGGAGCTTTTTTGATTTCTTTTTTTATCAAATATCTCGGTGGTGGTAGCCCTTTTGGCTAGCCGGTCAAACTCATGTCAATTAACTTTATGCAAGGCATGAGCTGGATATATGTGAAAGACGCTGAAATGAATGCTTCTCATTGTATGGCGGATCCCAGGAGTTCGGACTGGTTGTACTATTGTTCTCAGGGATAAGGTGCCCGCTGGCTTAAAAAGCGTATTTATGAAAAAAAAAACAATTTGCAACAGAACTTACTTATGCAATTTAAAAAAAAGGTACTATAGTTTTTGGGCTAGTTATTAATGCGTAGGGCGAGACAAAAGGAACGCGCAACACGTCCGGCAGCGTTTTCATAGTGTCTCTGTTCGTGCAGAACTTGTTTTCACTGCTGCGCATATAACTTCGTACCAGCCTTGTGTTGTATTCGTTTTGTGGAAAGCAAGCAAATGATTCGTGCTTTCTATAAAAGAATGAAAAATGGCCGAGTGTGCTCTACCATATTCGTCAAATATGGAACTGCAGCCGTTTGATAAATTTGAAAAGTAACTATATTTGGTTTCATTTGCTTTAACTTGCGTCAGCTAGCTGTACTGCATAGAAATACGGAGGATCCCATTCGCAAGGTTATTCACGTTTGCCTTTACCGTGGAGAATGCCGTGGACCTTCTCCGATCGGAGGATAGCACGAACGCCTCCGATCGCCCGCCGTTTGCGAGTGCGCTTCTCGGCACGACAGTTTCGAATAACTCGTGGCAGCACCTGACATTGTTCCAGTGAGGACAATGTTCTCACTACACAAGAGGCCCGGGCTTGGTCTCCGGTATTGCGAGAGTGAAATACATTTTTTTTCATGTCATAGCAGAAGAAAATTACGTTTGTACACGCCGCCTCGCAGTAACGTTATGTCGCCGCCATTAGCAAGGCAGACTGCGTCGCAGGAAAGCCAGCTCTACACTCCATGAAGAAGACCTGTTAGTGTCACAATACGCGTCATTCGATTTGGCGAAATTTGGAGCGCACGATTCACTGTATAACTTAGAACCGACGTGGAAGCGAGCGCTATGCAACTTGCGACTCAAACTACATGATACGAACAGGAAAGAAAATTGTCGCCCATTTGTAACACGAAACTACAAGGAAATATTCAGATTTATCCGACAGAAAACTCGGCAGTCGGCGAAAATTTTGTCCGGATTTAGAGTTAGAATCCGAGACCAATGCTTCTCCGGGGCAGCCGCACCGGAAAGATGTTTCCGCGATTAAAGTTTCCGCACTTGCGGTACATAATGAAGCTCGACATAGATGTTGACAAAGGTAAACACAAAAACAACAATGCCCACAAATATTGTACGCAGAAACATAATGACTTTGCGTCACTCACTATAGCGAGAACCAACAAATGGAAAAAAAAAACATCTTGTTGAACAAAAGAACAAAAAAAAAAAAAGCTGCTCATGTATCTCGCAAGGCGACCTTTGTCATTAGCGCTGAGGGTCATGTGCTGGCTTCATTCACAGCTCACCTTGATGGTATAGACGCGATGCATGGGTGAAAGTATATTGAAAGTAATTATGCAAGCTTTATTTTTTTAATTTTTTGACTAGAAAGGCTTTCGCTACACGGTGGACGTCACCTTTGATATATAAAAAGCACTGCTCATAGAGTTTGACGAAAGCTTTTCTTGTCACGGTGTAGATTTAGTGAATCAAATTTCAAAAAACCGCCTTGGTAGCGTTCGACCCGAAAAAACCCCGGAAAACCCGCGGCTACGCGCATGCTGCATGCTTCAGACAGCTGTTCAGTGCTACCTGTTAATTTAAGGTATTCATCGTTGATTTGTATAGAGAACACAGTTCGTGAACCGTTTCCCACCCTTCGATTCGGTCGCAAAAACGTTTTCGATCATCAAAGTGATCTCACTACTTATTAAAGGATGTGTGAACGGGAGATTGCTTATCGTAAAATCACACGCGGTGAAACAAGAACGGTCAAGGTCAGCACAGAAACCCACCAAGTTTCCGCATTGACGGCTGCTTTGATCAATACAGGAGAGAACCAGCATTTGACACGATTTCGTAGAATTGTGCGAATATATATATATATATATATATATATATATATATATATATATATATATATATATGTGTGTGTGTGTGTGTGTGTGTGTGTGTGTGTGTGTGTGTGTGTGTGTGTGTGTGTGTATGTATACATACACAAAGTTTTTTTTATATATATATCCGCAGTACGTTCAGCTAAAGTTCTTGGGGCGCTTTCAACCCCCTGAGCCAGCCACTGGCGTCAGAGAGCAGTTTGACCTCGTTCGCGCTCGGGAGCCGAGAAAGTGTTTCAGGCGCCTAAGCAGTGATTTGATCTCGGTGACACGACCCTTGCGAAGACCCCTTTTCCGCCGCGAGCGACGCGGAATGCCCCGTTTAGGAGGCGCCCTTTTAGACACGAGCGACAAACGCTATCGTTTGTCGCGGGTGTCACCACACACACACACACACACACAAAAGTCAGCGAGGTTTTCTCCCTAGGTAGCTTATGCCGTCAGAGAGTCACATTTCTGGTGAAGCGTGCCAAGAGAAAGTACTAAGTGGATGACTTGGGTTTTTTTTCTCTGGAATGACCAAGGGTTGGACTGTTGGACGACGGCAAGCGCATGTCCCCCCATCACGAGTGGCGCTGTTCCGAGGTGGGGGACTTTCGCAGCTGCGTCGTGCTCGCCCGAGTCGTCGTCCGTTGGCGCAGCGTCGGTGCACCAGATAACCTGCCGTGCGGCAGCGCATCTGCGGAGAGGCCTAACGAGCCCCTCCTCCCCGACCGCTGTCGTCATTTGGAAGCGCATCTGTTCCCCTTCCTGCCTATGCCTGGCCGCGAGCCGTGCAGCAGCCACTCGGCCGCAGACGGTCTGCCGACGACGCGAGCCCATGCCACGACCTGCCGTCGCCCTCACGGGCGCCTTCTCGGGACTCCTGGTCCTGCTGCTGATGCACGCCCTCGCAGAGACCGCGACCGGAGCGATCTCCTTGTCCAAGGCCGAGGTCGACGAGGTGAGCACGCTGTTGCGTCACGCACTCCCTTTTCACACTCGTCGCTTTCCATCACACCCGTAGACGTGAAGACCACGTGCCGTAATCTGGCCGTTGGAAAGAAGGAGAGTGACCGCCACAGAACCGGTGCCACGGCCAGATACCAGCCGAACATTTAAACGCTGCTTCTAATGAACGTTCGACTGACTCTTGTGCGAATCTGTGATTTGCTGTTAAGTATAAGCACCACCGTTCGCCCATAGACGGAATATTTGCTATTCTACTCTATTGGGTTTTACCCGCGCCTAACGGGCGTCTTTTACCGAAGGACCTTGCAATTCAGCTGACACATTTCAAATGTTTTACCTCTAAATGAACTCATGAAGGTAAATCAAAGCGTTTTTATGTGCTTCGAATAAGTTCTAAGTAGATCGTACATATGTCTCGAATCAAAGAGCATTTGAATCATTCGCAATTGCTCCTGATGCCTAGTGAACTTAACCTCTATAAAGATCTTGCAACATATATGGCGTTCTACACACGTTAAATTCTTTGCGCGAACCAAAAGCTTTGCCTCAGAAATTATTGTGGGAACAAAACTTGCCTAACCCTACTTGCACCGCGTCAAAAGAAGCAGCTGGTGAAGGAGAAGATACTGATAGCACAGCGATGTATAGCATGGTTCCAGTCTGTCGTATGGTAACAGTACACACAGAATGACACGGCTTCGGTCACTGCAGTGACAACTGACAAGTCCTTTTTCTTTCCTTTTTTTTCCCGAACTGCACCGGCTGATGAGTCGGCAAAAAAAAAAAAAACATTTTGCAATGTGCACAGATAAATTGAGCGGACCTACGGAATGTGTTTACAGTTCTTAGTGATACTATCGGTTAGCGCCTGAAGCTCTTTTCTACATAGGAAACAGCTTCAGGTGCAGCAACTAAAACCACTCATTTCTTTTTCTATAACTGTCTTCTTGATCTCATTGACTAGGTATAATCGTCCCATATGCCTGTAACGTTCTTTTAGGCAGAAACTGAAATGCAGTTGTAATGATCAAAACATTCCTGGCCCATTCACAACGTGGCATTGGTTGCTGTAGCAAAATGAACATTCCTGATACGATAGGTACGTTGCATAGCAAGCGTACCTACGTATTTACACAGCACCGGCAATGAAGAGCTCATAGATATCATACGGACGAACAGCTGTTAGTTTGATTTGATTGATATCTGGGGTTTAACGTCCCAAAAACCCCATATGATTATGAGAGACGTCGTAGTGGAGGGCCCCGGAAATTTCGACCACCTGGGGGTTCTTTAACGTGCACCCAAATCTGAGCACACGGGCGTACAACAATTCCGCCTCCGTCGGAATTGCAGCCGCTGCAGCCAGGATTCGATCCCGCGACCTGGTGGTCAGCAGCCGAGTACCTTAGCCACTACACCACTACGGTGGGGCAACAGCTGTTCACGTGCGTTGTCCCGGAAGTGGTGCTGTTTAAAGCGTGCGCGGATCGTAACACGCGGAACTCACTTGCAGTGTGGTTTGCCATAGGCTTGTCGCATTGGAAGACGTAATTTTTGAGGAGGAGGAGCATTGAAGTTCTGTTCAATATAGACGTCAGCAGAAGGAGCAGCTGATTTCTATAATAATAATAATAATAATAATAATAATAATAATAATAATAATAATAATAATAATAATAATAATAATAATAATAATAATAATAATAATAATAATAATGATAATGATAATAATAATAATAATAATAATAATAATAATAATAATAATAATAATAATAATAATAATCCCTAATTACAAAACATTTATGAGGGACACCGTGGTGGAGGGCACCGGATATTTTGACCGTCATGGTGTTTTTTAACGTGCGCTGAAAGCGCACAGGACACGGACCTGAGCCATTTCGCCTCCATCGAAATGGGAGCGCGATGGCCGGGACCGAACGACATTTTCTCTAAAAAAAACTATGGTGGCACGAAACTTCCGAAAGATGTCACACGCAGTAGCTTTCATGGAGAAGCAGAGTGTGCTCCATAACACCACCGACGTGTGCGAACACTGCCCGTTCGACAAAGCCCCAACACGGAGGAGATTAGAAAGCGAGGCTTTCGCTTCCACATTGATGCAGCTGTGCGGGCAGAAACAGCTGCCACTCGGAGCGGCGAAATCGCTCGATCCGAAGAATTTACGGGCGACGCACACATACCGGGACCATCACGACAACGGCTAGCGGCACGGGGTCAGAGAGCAAGTGACGTCACACGTATATAGAGTCTGCGACCATCCTCTTCCATAGCTGGACGTCCGGGGCTGGAAAGGCTTCGCTCTGGCCATTATGACTACTATCTGCTGCTTATGTCAACCGCTGACCAGATAATGCTTTCATCTATGCAATGGCGGAAGTTCTCTACGGTTCTTCTTGAACGAATATATTGACATTTTTATCGGTGAGCTAAATAAATCGTGCCAGGATGTTCGCTGCATTGTGCACACGTGCCTCATCCTGTTACGAATTTTTTCCGGTATATTTTTGTCCAGCAGGTCGCACATTCTCATTTCTTTTTTGTTGTCCTAATTTTTCGCTCTTCCCCTCTTACCCCGTTCAATGATCACACTTTCAGGCGCACATATTCGCTCACTGAAGAGGCACATCACTTCACTCCACGAAGCTGATTTCTTTGTATAAAATTATTCTTGGTATGCGAGAATTTCAGTTCACGCTTCATTCGTAGGCCTACATTTAGACTAATTGCCTCTGGTTCACTTATAACTTCGACAGGATTTCTGATATGCAGCATGCCGACAATTATATGTAATATTGTCGTCTGTTTCCAAACTCTTTTTCTCTATTGATATTTCTTTTACATAAAAGTAATATCTTTTATTTTAGCTGCATTCACTCTTGTTTCACAATTTCGGACGTTTTACAGGGAAAGCTGTTATGATATCACAACTTGGGTGTCACGCAGCACCGTAGTCGTCCGCCGCCGCCGCTGGTGTCCGTAACCACTGTCGCACAAAATTAGAAAAAAAAACTAGTACCAATGACACAGTAAGGCTCAAACCCAGGTCCGCTGGGGGCCAGCCCAGTATTTTACCACTGAGCTACGCGTGTGCTTGTGACTTGTTGGCAAACTTGCCTTAGGCAGGCTTGATGCGGGGAAAGGAACCGCGTTAATATGAGTAATAAAGCGTTTTAGAACAGCAAAACAACAACGAGGCGTCACAAATTGCAAACAGCGTAACGAGTGGGTCGTCCAACGCTCCAACCCATTACAAAAGCTTGGTCTTGTTCACTTATTAACAGTGGTGCATACCCACTTCAGGCATGATTCCTCATCGTCGTCAGCTATTGCATGATGAATTGGCACAAAATTCCTTGCAAGTGTTTAGCGGATACCACGCTTCTCAGAAGAATGACGAAAAATAGCATAGCGAATGCCGGCCTACTACCCAAAATTTTTTTATTAATGTCGTAGTGGGTAAAAAGCAAGTGTGCTTGCAGCAGTTACTCAATGAGTGTTTAAAAGAGGCTCAAAAAGGCTGCTCTTCTAGCTTTCGCTGTGGCTGTGCTGCGCCTTCCGCGCAGGCCTGGCGTTTTTTTGCGAACCACTCATGCAACATCCTTGAAAATTCGGAGGAAGAACGCACGCTTGGACATCGATAAGCGATTCTCTGTTTGCGGCCCGAGCATTAGCAGCTTGTTGCAAAGTTTTAATAGTATAGTTCTCACTCTGGAGACAAGTCCTGCCACGCCTTCATTTCCTGCGGGAATCGTCTATGTCACGCTTCAAGATTTGTCACAGCCGTGCAAACTACGTTCCGCGATCAATGCAGAATCTCTTGAGTCATAATTCATATATTCGTAAGTCATATTAACAGTGAGTAAAATACCATGAGCCGCCTACATTAAGAACATGTACAGCCGCGGCCACTTTTGTGTAGAGCACGTGAACAGCCGGTGTTCGCTCTGCGGGGCAAAACCTTGGGGCAGTACCAGGCTCTGACGTAGTCAGCCTGACAACTAGGCCGCGCATGCTCCTGATACACCACTTCAGAACCGAAACTGCCTCAAGGTTTCGGCACGCAGAGCGAAAACCAGCTGATCGAGCGCTCTACACAGACGTGACTGCGGCTGCACATCAAAAACGATATATCCCTGATATTTGATCTGCCCCAGACAACGTCTTACAGAAACGATACGTACAAGAATCAAGCGGACTTGCTATAGAAGTGACGACTAGTGAAGCGGGAGAAATACAGCTGCACCACTGCACAGAGGCACAGCTGAGATGTGGCCATCAAACGTGAGGAACGCCGCAATCAAAGGGCCTTGAAAATGAGCCGTGCCGCCAGTATTCGCGCTGTCACTCGCCAATTAGTGCTCGCAGAATACCAGACCAAACATTCCGCACGCTGACGTTAAACTGACGTTAGCTGTTTCGACGTTTGCCCCTGCGGACTAATTCTCGCCATGGTCTGAAATATCAACCTGCCACAAAGGTATAGTGGTTATAGGCTGCCCGACTTTTGACCCAAAGGTCGTGGGATCGAATTCCGTTCGCGGCGGCCGCATCTTAAATGAGGGTGAAAATTCGTAAAGTCCATGTACTTGGATTTAGGTGCTAAGAATCACAGGGGGTCAAAACCTCCGGAGCGATCCCCTACAGCATCCCTATATTATGATTTTCAGACGTTAAACATCAACAATTATTATTTATTATACGGACCTAATACCGATGCAAATGAGAGCAAGTAAATAATTAGGCTGTAAGTAAGTGCGATTTGATGTGCAAAACAGCTTGAAACAGGGCGTGACAGCACGGGCATTTATGCTGTAAATGTGGACCTGGACACATTGCAGGCTTGCTTACGGGCACAGCTGTCTTAACTGGGTCATCTGTGATGCACACATATGGGAAGTTAAATTTGGGGTCACGCCTATTGCAGCACTCACGTATGCATATTACATCGTAAATGAGTTATGTCTGATTGAT